GGCGGGCTTGTTTCTCAATATTAATTGATTTAAATTACGTAGACTAGTGTAGTTATGTAGTGGAAGTAATTTTCAGATGCAAAGAATAAAACGGGAAAAACACAAACACAAAACTTGTCAAATAATTTGATATGTGAAGAGTTTGGTTCCAAAACACTATAAATCTATTTTGATTTTCAAAGATTTATTATAAAATTGTATTATTTTTTTCTCCCCAAAATGCAATAAATCCATGACACGTTTTTTTTTCTTCTCCAAACCTAGTAACCGTTCAGACCTTGATTAGCTTGTTCAGGTGTGTTTGATTAGGGTTGAAGTGAAACTCTGCAGGGCTGCGGCTCTCCAGGACCGACGTTTGCCACCCCTGGTCTAGAGTGTGTGGAATGGTGCGCTGTGATTGGTTGAGCGGATATATCGCATTCTGCAGAGAAGGGAGACTGGCGTTTGTCGCGGTTTGGAAAGAAAGGGAGAAAACATGACAGAATAACTTGGCGGATATCGCATTTTGCGTAAAATTTAAAATTGACTTTTCAATACCGGCCAGATACAATACTAAAAATGGCGTTTATCACGTTTTGGAACCAAACTCTTCATATATAGCCTACAATTTAATAACATATAGCCTAGTATTATATATAGGATGTTCGTCAACTGATTGCAGGCGGTCGGATCCATGTTGACAGCTCCGTAAAACAACCTACTGGAAGCTCTCTATAGTTTTGGTGTATATAGTTAAAAAAATGACAAGTAGGTTATACAAACACACAATAACATTTAAAGTTACTTCAATTTCTGAAAAAAGAATGTAGTAATTGATGTCATAAATACACAAGCCTGATTTTTTTTTAACTGGCAGAATCCATCGTACATTAGGAAAACGAAAAAAAAAAAACATTTGCATCAAAGACTATGAAAAAACAACGCCAGAATGAAGCCAGAAGTGCTGAATGTAAGCCAGATTTGGCCCAGACTCTGTTGTTATCTGGGAAGCCAAGCATAAGAATACTAATGTAAATTTGTTAACCCACAGTAACAATTTTTAACCGATTAATCACCTATTTTAGTTTTTTGCATGTTTTTTTTAAAAACACACAAAAAATAAATTTTACGTTTTTGAGAGGAAAATAAAAAAGAGAAGTCACGTAGGCTATAAGTGGATAAATATTTATACTAATATTTATATAATATTTATACTAATGGATAAATATAATTGCAGTAGGCTATATAATAATAATAATAATTCCTTACATTTATATAGCGCTTTTCTGGGCACCCAAAGTGCTTTACATAGAAGGAGGGAATCTCCTCAACCACCACCAGTGTGCAGCATCCACCTGGATGATGCGACGGCAGCCATATTATAATTATATAATATAATCCAAGCTATAAACAAGCCAAAACAAAGCGAAACTGAAGGTAAAGTTGGGCTCGTATCCTACCTCTCTCATTTGGCACAAATCCAGATGTTTCCATATAGCCTACACAATGTATTTGAAGCTATAGCTATACCTATTTATTAGGTCAAATAGGTCCTAGTTCATGCGTGTTCCAGTATCGACGGAAAAAATCATAATGAGCGAAAATATGCCTTTGTCTTTTGAATTGCTTATCCTAATTAATATTTGATGTGGCTTCCAAATACAATAAAATATTTCAACAAAAAAAAAAAAAAGTAGAAAATAAACTCACTGGAGGGTATCACTGTCAAATTCAGTAGCAATTTATTTGATTATTTAATCTTCATTTACTAGTGAAAATTCCAGTCTGAGCAATGGTGCCAGCTTTCAGGAGATTTCACTAATGAGTTTGTATGACCGCATGCATAGGCTACTGTATACTTCAAAGAATGTCATGCACAATCATTTTGATTCATTTTGGACATTTTGGGTAGTTTTGATGCCAGTTTGGATGACTTTGTAATAATCATAAATATAGACTAATAATTAATTAATGATCAGTTATAATTACAGACTTGTCACAGCACTCATTTGTAAACCATCATCAAATGTTTCAGAAATATTTATATTCTGAGGCAGATTGCCGGCAAGCAACATCCATTTAAGGATAGTTTGTGGCTTGGTCTTAGTGACTTAGGAGTGAAACACTCTTAGAGCAAAAATTTAGGAGTCCTACATTTAGGACTGACACACCCATTATTTTTAAGATTTTCTCCTAAATCGGCGCGTTATGAGCTACTTTTAGCCTTAAGATGTTTTGTGAATACGGGCCCAGATTTATAACAATTTGTTTGCATAAGCCATAAACTAATTGTATTAACAGCACATTAACAGAATAATCAATTGCTACACTTCTACTGCACTGATGAAAATGGTACAGATTTTATAATTCCTCAAACGGTAAACAAGTTAAGCAATTGTCAATAAATTAAGTAATTTATTTACACAAATGCAATAAATATTCAAACATCACATAATGTCCTCTAAACATTACAATTTAGTAGGGATTGTCGCTACAATTTTAGTGTTTTTAGTCCATTTTTCACATACCAAAAAAGTGTCGCGTATATTGACTAATAACAGATTCTCTTCAATCTGTACAAAATGAAAAATATATTTGACATCTATAAAAAATTATTCATTAAAGAAAACATTCTGTATTAATTCTTAATAAATTCTGTATAAAGCCTTCTGTGAGCATTAGTTTATGGTTGTAAAATTAACACCTAAAAGGAATGCTTTAGAAACCAATTCCAAACTCTAGGAACAACTAAAAACCAAAAGCAACATCACAGTAATACACTAACTATGAAAACATATTAGTGGGGATGATCTGTGTTTGCTGAACTCCACCTGTAAGCAGGATGGGAGCAGCAAATGGTATAAAATTGCAACAAGATTATCTAATCTAAAATTGTCTTATACTTCCTGTAGGTTTTTGAAAAGTCCTGCTGCAGAGAAAGCGTGTGACTATCTTACTAAAGTTCTGCAAATAAGTCCATTACTTCTGACAGAACTGGATCTGAGTGAAGATAAATTAGGAGATCTGGATGGGGAGAAACTCTCTGCTCTTTTGATGGACTCTCATAGCAAACTGGAGACAATAAAGTGAGTGAGCATGAGTTTATACGTTATAACTTTTATGATTACAAAATACTGTCAGTGACGTGTGAGCAGATATAAAGAACTGTTGATCTGATGTGTTGAATATGCACTGAATAATAAATAATGATGTTTGTGTGTTCAGGCTTAATAATTGTGAGCTGACAGAGAAAAGCTGTTCAGTTCTAGCTACTGTTCTCTCCTCCAAAACCATCCTGAAAGAGATGAACCTGAACAACAGCCGTCTGCTGGACTCAGGAGTCAAAGAGATCTGTGAGGGACTGAAGAATCCTGTGTGTGAACTGAAGATACTCAGGTGAGTACATTTCACCATAAACTGCTGTTCATTTAAGCCGACACGAACATTTACATTATGTCAGTGTGATTTTTTTTCTTTTTTTATGGAGAGGGGTTCTTTTTTCCATTGAACTGTAAAGAAAGCTGGCCAACCAATAAGATTCTCACTTTTTTGTTAACATGCCCTCAGCCAATACATTAAACTATAAATTGGTGGCTCACAAACAGACTATTTGGTTTAGTGACATTGAATAGCAGAAGGGGAATCAGGAACAGGCATTGGAGATTGATATTGAGCAGCTTTAGTGGTAATAAATTCCATTCAATAAAAAAAATGGATAGGATTGGTTAAATAGGATGAACTGTTTGAAAACATGTAAGAACTGTTTATCTTTATTTATTCCTCTGTCATGCCCCTGCAGATGTGAACCAAATGGATTTTGAATGACAAAAAAAAATGTTTTTACTCTTGATAATTAAGTTCCATATTTATTTATTTTTTTTAAAGCTAGGTCTCTAGCTTAAAGTCCAAAATTTTACTAAATATGAATTTTTAGCTTTTTGTGAAAATGACTTCTGTCTAGGTAATCTGTGTCTCAGGTGCAGCACATTTCTTTGATGAAGTAATGAGAACTGTGTCATATAATGTGCTTTCAATGCAGAGATAAGGTGCAGTTTTAGCCTTATGCTATGTTTTAAGTTGATTCCTTAAGAAACAGAATGGAAGACTAAATGTATGCAGAACTTAGAGGCATATAATTGTATTTGTATTGATACATTGCAGTAATTAAGAAAGTGAAAGCTTAGGGCTTTAGTTTTATTATAAATAATTAGTTATTTTAACTTTGGGTTGGGCTTTACCCCCCACCCCACACACACACACACACACACACTTTTACCTGCTTTCATCTTGGAGTGAACAGGCCTTTATAATAACCTATATGAATTAATAACCGAAATTTAAGATTAACTTTAGAACAAACTCAAACCACACATATTCAACAATAACAGATTCCTGGTCATCATTATATAATAAATTAATCTTAGCAGAATAAAACTGTGGCATATCTGATAAGGTAAGCTGTAGTGTGATTTAGTCATATTTATTAATATAACAGTGATGAATTAATCTCAGCTGCAATGTTAATTTAACTTTGTGTTTTTATTTTTTCTAGAATTTCAAATTGCAGTATCACTGAAGAAGGTTATAAAGCTCTAGCTTCAGCTCTGAGATCAAACCCTTCACACCTGATAGAGCTGGATCTCACAGGAAATGATCCTGGACAATCAGGAGTGAAGCAGCTCAATTATTTACTACAGGATCCAGACTGTCAACTGAAGACACTGAGGTGAGTGATATTAAAATAATAACATTCAACAGTCCTAAAAATATTTTCGGTTAAAAAAAATGTAATTGTCAAAAAGATGTTTATATAAGCTTTGAAATGACTCCCTGAAATTAGTCTCTTGCACAACATTGTGAACATAAATCACTGTATGGCAGGTAATATCAATGTACTTCTATTATGTCCAGGTTGTTGCAAAGTCCTGCTGCAGATGAAGCCTGTAAATATCTGACTGAAGTTCTTGATAAAAACCTGTTACTCCTAAGAGACCTAAATCTGAGTGAACATAAACTAGGAGACACACGAGTGAATCAGATCGCTGCTCTACTGCAGGATAAACACTGTAAACTCAACACACTGATGTGAGTATTGTGTTCATTTATTATTGTAGATAAGTATGTTAAAAGCATCAGGTAATAAAAACGTAATTCTCAGTAATCACTAAATGTTGGAATCAAGAACTTTGTGCTGGTAAATTCATCCTCTACTGTTCATCATTTTAGTCTGCATAAGTGTGGTCTGACAGAGAAAAGCTGTTCAGCTCTTGCTACAGTCCTGAGATCAAACTCCAGTCTGAAAGAACTTGACATGAGCAACAATAATCTGCAGGATTCAGGAGTGAAGAAACTCCAGAACGGATTAGAAGATACAAACTGCACACTGAAGAAACTCAGGTGAGATCAATCAACCATTTTTAATTGTTTTTCTTCACTAATCAGGAAGAGAAAGTGATATTATTTCTATTTTGAAGTGATATTAACTGTATAATAAATTTCAATCTGATTTTCAAATCCCTTTTCTGTAGACTTTCAGACTGCAAAATCACTGAAGAAGGTTATAAAGCTCTGGCTTCAGCTCTGAGATCAAACCCTTCACACCTGATAGAGCTGGATCTCACAGGAAATGATCCTGGACAATCAGGAGTGAAGCAGCTCAGTGATTTACTACAGGATAAAAACTGTAAACTAAAACTGAGGTGAGTCATGATCAAATTATACAAAATAATGATACAAATGATACAAAATTCACCTGATATGGAGGTGAATTATTCATATAAATTGTATTTCACTAACTTTGTTCCAACAACTAATTGTGCTGTTTTAAAAAACTGACTATTGATTACACCAAGTTCTGTTGAATTGAATCCTGCTTCATCTTCTCTTCCACAGGTTTTTGAGTCCTGCTGCAGATGAAGCCTGTCAGTATGTGACTGGAATTATGGGTAGTAATCCCTTACTTCTGAGAGAGCTGAATCTGAGTGGACATCAACTTGACATAAAATTAGTGAATTATCTCGCTGCTCTACTGGAGGACAAACACTGTCAAATTAACAAACTTCAGTGAGTATTTCACAAAAGTTTCAAATGTATACTTTGATTTGGAAGTATTGGGCCCTCTTTATATTAAAGGGGTCATATGACGTTGCTAAAAATAACATTATTTTGTGTATTTGGTGTAATGCAATGTGTTTATGCTGTTTAAGGTTAAAAAAACACATTATTTTCCATATAATGTACATTATTGTTTCTCCTCTATGCCCCGCCTTTTTGAAACGCGTCGATTTTTACAAAGCTCATCGTTCTAAAAAAGCG